TTTGCTTTCCTCGCACAATTTGTTCGAGTGCGTAAATGAACTGCGAATCATTTTCACAGTCCTCTTCGAGGTTCCTCCGCCATGTACAATACTTCCTGAATCTCCTTCTGCCTAGATTAGGAGTTCTCAGCGATCGACGAGACTGAATGAGCTTCATCGAGTTCGAAACTCAATGCTGCAAAAGGAATTTGACGCTTCGACTCGGGATGAGAGTGATTGTTGAAGACGAGCGAAGATTGGACAAATCCTCAGAAGAAGGCCCATAAAAAAGTTAATGGTACCGATTTGGTTGCAGCCCAACTGATCCCTCAGGCCTCCTCCAATTTTTATTTGGATTGAATGACAAGTTGTGGCATATTCACCATTATGTATGTACAAAATGTTTCATTTGATTAATTTGTCCCTACCTTTGTTTGAAAATCTAACATGATAAATTATTTGAGTTTAGTGACTTTGCTTTATCCTCGTTATTATATAGATAAAATGTTCAAATCATAAAACTCATTTGTCACATCAACAAATGTTTCATATATTAGGTTTTTGTTGATTTTCATAAATGACGTCGACGTTTGATAAATTTTAATTTTTGACGAGCGGTGGCAAATCCATGAATTTCAGAGATATACTACATAAAAAAAATACGGTAAAATAATCTACAAAATTATTTTTTTAATACATGCTATGAGGGTTTGAGGCTATTGTTCGTCTATTGATATCATATTCAATTACGCAATCAAGTTTTCAAAATAGTCATGGTAGAAAAATGTTAGTTATTGCAACAGGTAAATTTAAAAGCAATTTTTTTTTGTTTGCATAAATAAAAACTTAAAATTAATCAATGTTATAGCTAAACTTGAACATGAACCAACACAGCTAGGAAATAATGTCTATCCTCATGTGTTGTAAATTTAAAACTTCCCCTCCCTTCCTTGAATTATGAAGTGTAAAAATAAAATGTTATAAAGGAGGACCCGTGTACATTTGTTTGTACATATCATGGTTTCTTTTAGACAATGGCTAATTTTTATGATTAATTTTGGTATGTATGTCTTAATAAAAGTTTAAATACGCGAGCTTTGATAGTCTGTTTATAGCCTCAAACCTTTTACAGATTTTAATCATAATTGTAATTATATGTATTTCATTTATACTGATTGAACGTGTATTTTTTGTGCATGGCAAAATAAGAGACAACAAGTCATCTCTTATAGAATTGCAAGCAAGGACTTATAGAAATTTGTGGTGTGATAACTACCAAGACATACAAACCTCGTGTACGAGGAGACACAACACAAACTCAGTTACAATATAAGATAAGCATCTAAACCAAAAGAAGAACAATATCCAACCATAAGTTAAATGCAGACGTAGCGTCGAGGGAACGTCATAACAAAAAAAACTATGGCTTCCCACTCGTCGTGGCCAAAAGCTGAGTTAAGAGCGATGTCGAATCGGATTCTCTTGAAGTTGAACGTTGCTAAACAACCAATATTTCATCTAATATATGAAATAGATGAGGTGCCAATGAAGCTTGAAGTGCTAAAGATCGAACATATAGGCAACAGATTGTAAACAATCAATTCTTGAAAGTGCCAATAAAACGCCATTTTTCAGCAGCAGCAACAGATGGGTAAAGTGATAAACTTCACCCATCCTCATCATATAGTAGGCGAGTAAACAGTACTAGAAAAAATGAATCCCTTTATTAGATCAATATCTGGATGTTACCTGGTAACTGATAATGAAAACACAGTTTATGAATGGCTTGATCAGGTTCAAACATGAGATTTCAAACTCTCAGCTCCATGGAAAACGCAGAGCGTGCAATGAAGCCAGGTATAGTGTAGCAGCTAACACCTTCAAACATATCAACCAAAATACAGTTTTAAATTCTCACCTGAAAATATTTATGATTATGCAAAGGAGACGGCAATAGATCAGGTATCTTCTTCTCCAACCTGCAATTTCAAGTATTTGTTGCCATAGCAGGGATCAAAAAGTGAACCTGTAACATTGATTCAAAAAGCCTCCAATTTAGAAAATGGTGGAAGATTAGAATATTAATCCCGGATTAGATTTCCCCCATGGATAATCAGAGTAAAAAACACACTATAACAAAATCATACTTACATTCAGGCAGAGCGGAATCTTATTCTCCATTATTCACAAGCAAAGCAAAATTAACAAAATCAGCTTCTAAACATTAATTTAATATCAAATTTCAATAAAAGTTCAGTGCCAGCAGTTCGATGGTAAGAATTACAGAATAGGGCTGTGCAAACCTGGAAATTACGAGATTTTGTTGAGGAACTTGAAAGGAACTGCTTGTCTTGATATTCCATGGATGTTTCAGAAACAAAAACTGGTAAATAGTTCCCATGTTCTGAATCTAGATATAATCATTCAACGCAAATGACGAATATAGCAGCGGACGAGCAGTGGCTGACACTAAATTTTCTAATCAAACCACTTCCACATAACAATTTCAACTTCAGCGGAGAAAGATTAATGGTTCCGAAACCTCGCAGTTCAATGGAGCTGGCAGTAATTTGAAATGAAAGAAGATAAAACTCTAACGAGCCTAGCTTCTTTCAATGGTTAGTTCGAACACGGATTCCAACAAAACGAAATTAGATACAAGATGAAACAAGAAGAAAGAGAAAGATGAAGAAAAGGCGAAATTCTTATAGCACAACTCTTCAATGAACTAAACATTCCATTTCCAACTAATGAGGAATCAACTTACAGGAAGTCTATAAGAACAAGTTCACCTATGAAACATCAGATCAAAAGTCAAGATCTACAATCAATCTCCCAATAAATCTCTAACCTAACCTCCAAAACCATACAGAGTTCTTCCCTGCCTCTTCAACGCATAAACCACATCCATGGCAGTCACCGTCTTCCTCCTGGCGTGCTCAGTGTAGGTAACAGCATCGCGAATCACATTCTCAAGGAAAATCTTCAAAACTCCTCTGGTTTCCTCATATATCAAACCGCTAATACGCTTCACACCACCTCTACGGGCGAGACGGCGAATTGCAGGCTTCGTAATGCCCTGAATGTTGTCTCTCAAAACCTTCCGGTGACGCTTCGCTCCTCCCTTTCCCAAAC